ATCACAGCTCAGGAAAAAAAAGCACCGAAATGTGCGCTGCTTTTCGGTCTGGTTACTACCGTTTATGTCAGAACCGGTGCCATGATACCGGTACCCATCCCTAGTTTCCATTCCCTCAGATTTAGTCCTGATGCTGATGCTGCATAATGACAAGTAATGAAAGAAACGTGATAAAAAGGAAGTTGCTGGTTTGGTCGTCCTAGTCTTAAAAATCTAAAAATAACAAATACAATTTTGCTAAATATATGCTGGGAGATAACTGCAAGTTTACCCTTAATGACCTTCAGCATCGTATGAGCTGGCGTGGACACTCAGATGCCTCCAACACAATGGCGATTTAGTCTCCTCATAAAACACACAACCAACAGTGTGCTGAGGTTACCACACTGACCTTTACTCCACTAAAGTTAGGGTTGGTTGTTTATTGTTAAGGACAAACTGAGGAGCGAGGGCAGACAGAAAAACATGCTTATTCGTTCTTTCGTCGACTCGAAATGGAAAACACATCGACCACCATCCCCAAATTTAAATGGCTGCAACACTTTTTTAATCAATAAAACAAAATATAAAACAAATGAAAGAAGCCGAGGGTGGAACAAACGATACGTGACTTGTTCATTATTGATGTTTGGAGGTGCTGGAAGGTAGACTCCACCTTTGTTTTCAGACAGCTTTAGTTTTATATTCAAAGTAAAGCTGGCAAAAAGTGAATGATTATTCCTTTACTGTAAAGGCCACATCAGGCCAGGTTTAAACAAACAGGAGGATTTAATGTATGCCTTCATCACATCATGGTAATAAATGCATCCAGAAGCAGTAAGAACCAGGTCTGGTATTTATTCAGACACTTGCCTGGATGCTAAAGTTTACACAAAACTCAAAATGAGCGATTTAACGACTTAATGTTGTACACTTGACATTAACTTAATGAAACAGAAAGCTGGTCCAAATCCAGACTGATGGACAACAGACCTGCTTTTAAAAAACGGAGCTGCCCAATCGCCTCCCCAAATATTCAGCAGCTACTTATTACTGCATATCAGGAATGCCAACACATAAACTGCTGCTGTGTTACTATGTGCGCTGTGCTGCAGGGGCATATGGTTTGTGCTAAGCGCTATATGACTGTGATGACAGAGAGCTGCTGGAGGCAGCTGAGCCCAGAGATGACTGCTCATTGCTGGCCTGGCTGGAGCCTGCTATATGACCTACTGCTCCATGCACGAGGGGAGTCCCGCCCAGCACTCAGTAGCTGGCAGAGGCTTCGTGCGGGGCATTTGGCAGAGAGCACCGATCAAGAGGAGACGGTAAACGATGTCAAGCGAAAGTGCAAAAACTTGGAAGGCTTTCTTGCTGAATTATTTAACATTTTATTTAGCCGTACATCGCTTCAGGCTCCGCTGCTTCTACATTTATCACGGTGCTCATCGTAAAACTGGATCCAGAAAATACGGTTTGGCTTCGGTTCTGTAAGAAAGGTCGTGTTATTGCTTAGTCTGTTCACCTGTGTCATAAATGTAAAAACAGTTCCCACGAATTCTGGTTGAAAAACAGACCCTGAAGCGAGTGAACATGAAAGTAACCATGCTTACTTTTACTTAACTTGATTCCTCTTTATTTTACGAGG